ATGTGTGTGCAAGGAGGTGCAGGTGCAAGGGGCATCTGGATGTTTGTACAAGAGTGTGCATGCACGTGGCTGGTTTTGCAAGCACATGTGTGTGCAAGGAGTTGCAAGGGGCATCTGGATGTGTGTGCAAGAGTGTGCAGGCATGTGGCTGTCTGGTGTTACAGGCACATGTGCGTGTGCAGGGGTGTGTGTGCAAGGAGGTGCAGGTGCAAGGGGCACTCGGATGTGTGTGCAAGAGTGTGCATGCACGTGGCTGGTTTTGCAAGCACATGTGTGTGCAAGGAGGTGCAGGTGCAAGGGGCATGCGGATGTGTGTGCGAGTGTGTGCATGCACAGGGCTGGCTTTGCAGGCACATGTGCCTGAAAGAATGTGTGTGCAAGGAGGTGCAGGTGCAAGGGGCATGTGGATTGTGCAAGAGTGTGCATGCATGTGGCTGGTTTTGCAAGCACATGTGTGTGCGCAAATGTTTGTGTGTGTGTGTGCAAGAATGTGTGTGCAAGGAAGTGCAGGTGCAAGGGGCATCTGGGTGGATGTGCAGGCATGTGGCTGTCTGGTGTTGCAAGCACATGTGCATGTGCAGGGATGTGTGTGCAAGGAGGTGCAGGTGCAAGGGGCATGCGGATGTGTGTGCAAGAGTGTGCATGCACGTGGCTGGTTTTGCAAGCACATGTGTGTGTGCAAATGTGTGCGTGTGCAGGGATGTGTGTGCAAGGACATGCAGGTGCAAGGGGCATGTGGATTGTGCAAGAGTGTGCATGCACGTGGCGGGTTTTGCACGCACGTGTGTGTGTGTGTGCAGGGATGTGTGTGCAAGGAGGTGCAGGTGCAAGGGGCATCTGGGGGGGCGTGCAAAAAGGTGCATGCACATGGCTGCCAGTTTTTGCAGATGCACGTGTGTGCAGGAGCACGCAAGGGTGCACAGAAATGTTTAGGCATGTGTGCAAGAAGGGATGTGCAGAAATTTGCACACGTGTGCAGAGATGCATGCACAAATGTGTATGCCTAGGGAGGCCTTTTGGATGGGTATGTGCAACAACATGTGCATGCACGTGCGTATTTGTTGGTTGTGCATGCACATAAGTGTGAAGGAATGTGTGTGCAAAAAATTGCATGGATGTGCAAGCAGAAAAATGGATGAGCGTGCACGTGCTTGTACATGGATGTATAAGCACAGGGGTGCACGCACACGGCAGTGAAATAAGTGTGTGCTGTTGTGCATAGATGTGCAAGCACCGGGATTTTTGTTGGCTGTGTTTGCACATGTTTGTGCAGGGATGTGTGCACTGATGTGCATGCACAAATGCACCTGTGGGGTATTTGTGGCAGTAATGCGTGTATCTTCGTGCATGCACAAGGATATTGGTTGGATGGATGTGCACACATGTGTGCAAATATGAGCATGGCCATTGCTCATTTTTCATGTGCAGGCACATGTATGTTCAGGGATATTTGCACATGTGTGTGCAAAAATCTGAGCATGTACTTGCTTGCACAGGAATTTTCATGGCGTGTGCATGCACACGCGTGTGCAGGAATGTGCCTGCACAGGTATTTTTGTGTGTGCACAACTGCTTGTGTCTGTGCACACACATTGATGCATGCAAAATATCTGCTGGCTTGTGCTTGTTGGGTGCTTTAGCACACATGTGTGCAAGTTCAGGCACACACGTGCAACGATGTCTTCAGGGAGCCTGTATGTACACGTGTGTGTGTATGCAGACATCTGTGCAAGGCTGCACATGCACGTGGATGTATCTCTGGTTGTGCAAGCACACAGGTGTGCAGGGAGGTGTGTATGCATAAAAGTGTGCAGGGATATGCTCACACAGGAATATTCTTTGGGTCAGTTGCACAAGTGTGTGCAAGGAGATTTGTGCACAAGAGCTTGTGGGAAAAGATGTGAACATGGATTAAATAGGGAGGCTTGTGCACACGTGTGCAAAGCTGTACAGTGAGGCAGATGCATAGATATCTGTTGCATGGTTTTACACACCCGTGTGTGGCTGCGTTTGCACGATGTGTTTGGAATTATAGGCACACGCGTGTGCCAGGAGGTGTGTGTGAGCACACGTGTGTGCATGGGAGAGCTTGCACAGAAATGTACGTGTGTGGGGTGTTTTCCTGCAGGGATGTGCACAAGCGTGTGTGCTCATTAGTGGGCACTGGTGTGCGAGTGCACTAGTGTGCCTGGATGTGCCCACTCCCTAGTGCATATGTGCACATGTGTGTGCAAGGATGAGCATGCACATGGATTTCTGTGTGCATGCACACGTGTGTAGAGGTGTACATGGACAGGGTTGCGCCTGAAAAGTGTTGCACATGTGTGCAAGGGTGTGCACACACACAGCCTCTCAATCTATAAGTTCTTGCACACATGTGTACCTGGGAGGAGCCTGCAAGTGTCTACTTGCTCCGAGGGGATGCACACGCGTGTGTACATGGGTGCGCGTGACCAGGGAGGCCTGGATGGGCATGCACAAGTGCGTGTGTGTGAGTAGGGGTGTTCTTGCACAGGGATCGGTGCAGTAATGCGTGTGGCAGGGTGTTTGCACATCAGTAACTGCCTGGAAGGGGATGCACACGCGTGTGTACATGGGTGCGCGTGACCAGGGAGGCCTGGATGGGCATGCACAAGTGCGTGTGTGTGTGAGTAGGGGTGTTCTTGCACAGGGATCGGTGCAGTAATGCGTGTGGCAGGGTGTTTGCACATCACTAACTGCCTGGAAGGGGATGCACACGTGTGTGCAAACAGGGATGTGCTCCGGGTTTTTTTAGGCCCATGCACGTGTGCTGGGATGTCGATGCAAACAGATCTGGTCAGGGATTTGCACGCATATGCAGGCGTGCAAGGCGTGCATGCAAGGGGATATGCACACTCAGGTCCATGCACAAATGCGTGCATACATGCACGTGACCATACGTGTGCAAGGTGCTGCATGCACACGGACCTCCCCGGGGTGCACAGGCCTTTTTGCACGGCCGTGCACACCCACATGGGTGCAGGACGGGGTTTGCACGGACCTGTGGGTGCAGGGACGCACGTGCCCGACATGGAGCGCGTTGGTGGCACCCGTGGGTGCCCCTTGTCCCCGACCCCGGGCCGCGTTCGCCCGCCGGCTCCGCGGGATCCCATTAAAGCGCCCGGCTTAAGCCGCTCTCAATTGGATTGACAGCGTCGCTGCCAAAGCCGCTTAGCGGAGCCGCGACGCCGATTCCGGGGGGGATCCCAAGGCCTGGAAGGGGATGGACAACTGAGCACCCATGGGTGCTGCGTGGTCGGGCACGGGGGCTCTTGGGGGGTTGCATTGGTGGGGGGATTGCTGCAGGTTTTGGGGGTGCGGGTAGGAGCAGGGTGCAGGCGGTGCAATGAGGGCGTGTGTGCAAATCGCGCCAATTTGGGCTTGCACGGTGCGGATGTGGCGTTGCACTTTGCACGCCCGTGGCCTTGCTCCTTGCACCGTTTTGTGTGTGCGTGGTGCAGACGGATGTGCTTGCGCTTTGCAACTCTATGAGCGTGCACGGAGCACCAAGGTGGGTGTGCAAAATGCACCGGTTTGGGCTCATGCAGTGCAACGTGGCCTTGCACATTGATTCATTTTATTGTTGCACCAATCTTGCACGCTGTTGGGGTGTACATGGTGCACTGACAGGGCCTTGCACCGTGTTTTCTTGCAGCTGGACGTGGTTTTATGGTGCATGATGCTGCCAGGGGACCTTGCCCAGTGCACTGTGCACGATGCTCCGTGATGGCCACGTGTCATGCACGTTTCCTTGGCTGTGCATTTTGCAAACTGAGAGCTTCCTGCATGGTCCAATTCCTGGGGCTCTGCATGTGCATTGCATTAATCATGCACAGTGCATTGCACTAGCCATGCACAGTGCATTGCCCTTGTGCAAAATGTGTTGCACTCACTGTGCACAGAATAGTAAACTAGCTATGTTCATTGCGTTAAACACGCACAGTGCATTGCACTGGTTCTGCAAAGTGCATTGCATTAACCATGGGCATTGCATTAACCATGTGCACTGCATTGCATTAACCATGCACAGTTCATTGCACTGGTCATGCAAAGTGCATTGCATTAACCATGGGCATTGCATTAACCATGTGCATTGCATTAATCATACACAGTGCATTGCACTGGTCATGCAAAGTGCATTGCATTAACCATGTGCATTGCATTAACCGTGCACAATGCATTGCATTGGCTCTGCGAAGTGCATTGCATAAACCATGTGCATTGCATTAATCATGCACAGTGCATTGCACTGGTCATGCAAAGTGCCTTGCATTAATCACGCACAGTGCATTGCATTGGCTGTGCAAAGTACATTGCATTAACCGTGTGCATTGCCTTAATCATGCACAGTGCATTGCACTGGTCATGCAAAGTGCCTTGCATTAATCACGCACAGTGCATTGCATTGGCTGTGCAAAGTGCATTTCATAAACCATGTGCATTGCATTAATCATGCACAGTGCATTGCACTGGTCATGCAAAGTGCATTGCATTAACCATGGGCATTGCATTAACTATGTGCATTGCATTAATAATTAACAGTGCATTGCACTGGTCATGCAAAGTGCATTGCATTAACCGTGTGCATTGCATTAATCATGCACAGTGCATTGCATTGGCGGTGCAAAGCGCATTGCACTGCTCCCGCACAATGCATTGCGCTGCTCATGCCAAGTGCATCGCGTTGGCTTTGCACACGCGCATTGCACTCACCGTGCACCACGCACCGTCTCGTCCCTGCAGCCCCCTGCACCCCCCCTTCTTTTTGCACCCCCGCACTAACTCTGCGCTCTCTATCCCGCAGCGCCCGGGCCCCTGAGGCCCACCTGCCCGGCCGCCTGCTCCTGCAGCAACCAAGCGAGCCGCGTGGTCTGCACGCGCCGCGAGCTCCTCGAGGTGCCCGCCAGCATCTCGGTGAACACGCGGTACCTCAACCTGCAGGAGAACCACATCCAGGTGATCCGCACGGACACCTTCAAGCACCTGCGGCACCTGGAGATCCTGCAGCTCAGCAAGAACCTGGTGCGCAAGGTGGAGGTGGGCGCCTTCAACGGGCTGCCCAACCTCAACACGCTGGAGCTCTTCGACAACCGCCTCACCACGGTGCCCACGCAGGCCTTCGAGTACCTGTCCAAGCTGCGCGAGCTCTGGCTGCGCAACAACCCCATCGAGAGCATCCCGTCGTACGCGTTCAACCGCGTGCCCTCGCTGCGGCGCCTCGACCTGGGCGAGCTCAAGCGCCTCGAGTACATCTCGGAGGCCGCCTTCGAGGGCCTGGTGAACCTGCGCTACCTGAACCTGGGCATGTGCAACCTCAAGGACATCCCCAACCTCACGGCGCTCGTGCGCTTGGAGGAGCTCGAGCTCTCGGGCAACCGCTTGGACCTCATCCGCCCGGGCTCCTTCCAGGGCCTCGGCAGCCTGCGCAAGCTGTGGCTCATGCACGCGCACGTGGGGGCCATCGAGCGCAACGCCTTCGACGACCTCAAGGCGCTCGAGGAGCTCAACCTGGCGCACAACAACCTGGCGTCGCTGCCGCACGACCTGTTCACGCCGCTGCCGCGGCTGGAGCGCGTGCACCTCAACCCCCACCCGCGGCGCTGCGCCTG